TGGCGCCTCCAGCGATTTCTTTTCTTCCATTATGTAGCGGCTACAAACAGTTTTGAGCAAACGATATCGCCTTTTAGAAACCATCCATTTACGCAATGATACTGTCGTTATAGAACAGTGAGATCTTAATGTCTTAGCTTTTATTTACTGCCTATTCTTTTTTCATGCCAGAGTACGATGTGAACTACAACCACAAGAGTACGGAGATATGGATAGAACTCATAACCACAGTTAAGTTTCCAAGCCGTGACTTCCATTTAGTGGATGCTAATGTGCTTTTTGGGCAATTCACCACGCAAACCTGTGCTGTTGCTTTGTTTTTCTCTCGGCCAGTTCTTTTACTCTACCAGTACTATCAGCATCCACCCGTCAATGGGAGCAATCTGGAGGATAGAAGTCGGGAATGGTCTGGGAAGCACAAATTGTGCATTCCAAATATGTATTCAACCACCTCTACGATGCTAGATGAAATCCAATACAGAGAGCATGCCTCAGGGATTGGTCAACGCCAAATGCTGTTTATTTTTATCCACAGTCAATAAAAACAATTCAGGCGTAGTAGAGAGCTAGAGTCACCTATTTTACACACTTGCACCGAAGGGCAAATATTTAGTTCCATTTGTTTGGCGTTCAAGAACTACTCTTCATCTTAGCACGCCACATGTAGCTACTACTAGGCAGATAATGATCTGTCATTGAAGAGTAGACAGGGCAGTAAAACAATCTCAAAAACTGCTCTCGGCTTGGAAGAGTCCTAATTGCGGCGTGGCAAACCTTTCATTGATTCATAACTGCCTTTCCTGAGGACTGGCAACACACTTACCTGGATATGTCTGTTTTTCAAATGAAAATTTTACTTAGCTAACTCCATATAAACAATAGAAATCAGGAGTTGTGCACACATTAAAGTGTGAAGACGGACTACTTAGATGTTAACTTATCACACTTAACACATAGTCTATTTTTGGTCGGCGGTTGCTCATGTTATAGCTTATAACTTTCAGTAACTTTATAGATTTGCATACTCCTAAAAAAAGGAAAAAGGGCCGAACTATTCGTAAAAAGCTCTAAAAGCTCTCGGCGTTGATCAATCCGCGAGGGATGCGCCATGCATTCGACATTCGACATCGACATTGAGTGTCGTTGGAGGTGATTTAATGCATATCTGGCCTTTACAATGACTCACGGTGGCCTACCGATGAATCGAACGAGTGCTTCTATCCTGCCAGACAAGTCTGGTACCAGTTTGCCGATTCCGGAGGAATGGAAGGCATAGTGGGCCATGAGCGCGGAGAACGATTCGACGTGCATGTCGCAGTGGCGCCTCCAACCACTGCGCCACACGCGCCCTGTGTATATTCATAGCAATCATTACCCCTTGTCTATTTAAATTTACTATTTTGCCACGTTTTATTCATCGAAACACTATGCGTGTAAAAAGTAACGTCGCTTACGTCGAAATCTTAAAAATTTTCCCTTTTTTTCACAATTCTTTTATAAATCACCTCGCATCGAGCTATTCGTATTCGTCATCTTATAAATCCAAATTTTGTCTAAGAAAGACAGCGGTTAGTCATGCCCATTAGGAAACAAGGTGATGGCTTGACCCCTCCACAACGCCCCTGTCCAACCAACGTAGAAACGCCTTTGCTTGGCTATCTACAAGATTACAAGGTGAACCGGCTCGACCAGCACTTTACGACATTCATAAAGGATGCTAATCTCAAGCAGCAACCGAGACAAGACCCGATATGGTCGAAGACGTTTGTGGATGCTCGATGCGAGGAAACGAATCGAACTCGAATGCCAAAATTCAAGCAGTGGATGTGATAACGGGTCGTGTGAAAAAATGGGTTAATAAATACATTCACAGATGTATATGTACGTATTTTCTTGTTAATTTGTGCACATAATCGTCATATATTATGTGATAGCAACGTTTCTTTGTCTCGGCTCGTTATCCACTACTCGTCACTGAAGAGTGTATTTTAAGTGATTTTAACGTGAGTTGGACTACCAATTTACTCCTTTACTTTTTTCCAAATTTCGTCGAATGCTGGTTGAACTGATTCTCTTTGGAATTTTGAGATAACTTTGCTGAAACATCGCTGGGTCTTCACTAAAGGTATTTGCAACCCCTTTCGGATCAAAGTAAGTTTTCCCCACAACCAACTTGAAACCAGTTTCCCGACGCAGCAAGAATGGAAAATGTGGTTAGTCTATTGCACGTCGAACCAGAAGTTAGGGATTTCTAACCACTGGCCTTCCCGTTATATATATATATATATATATATACAATATATAGTTCCACGGATCTTCCTCGTATGAGGGATCTCGGCCGGTTAGTAGAGGGCTACGTGGCGCGTCACCAGGTGGCGGGCAGAGGGTCAATCGCGGACCAAAAGCGACCTTTGCTTCCCTGAGACGCAGGTGGATCCAGGGGATGGACTCCCTGTTTCTGCTGCGCTGATTTGGCACATAACTTCTGTATTTGCTAAGCGTATTCATGCATGCGTGTGTGGGCGCGTTCTTGCTTGTGCGGATTGTATTCTACGAGTCAATTCGGCCAAAGGTCTGCATCAAGCTATGACGAAGAAGAAGTTGAAGCGTTCTATATGGACTTGGAGAAGTTCTACAGAGAAGACCACACATTCTTTAAAGTCATCATTGGAGACTTCAACGCCAAGACTGGACTAAGAAGAACGACTGAAGAACGTCGCATTGGGACCCACGGATTAGAATGGAATGAACAAGGTGAGCGGCTCTGTGAGTTTGTGTCGCGAGAGTACAAAAGACCGCTCTGTCTCACTTTCATCGATTTACAAAAGGCCTTTCATTCAGTTGAGATGGATGCAGTCTTGAAAGCCCTTGATTATCAAAAAGTAGTCCCTACTCAGTACATAAAGATTCTTCGTGAGCTGTACAAAAATTTTACAACCAAGATTTCACCATTGCAACAATATTAACATTGACGTCAAAAGTGGAGTTAGACAAGGAGATACCATCGCGTCAAAACTATTTACCGCCACCCTCCAGAGCGTCATGCGAACATTGGAATGGGACAACATGGGAGTGAAAATCGATGGTCGGCAGTTACACCATCTTCGCTTTCCTGATGATATCGTCATTACAACACCAAACATTAGCAACGCGGAACGTGTGCTTGACGACTTTGATAAAGCCTGTGGAAAGATTGGTCTTCGACTAAATCTCACAAAAACGATGTTCATGTAGAACAGATCGGTTTCGCATGCCCCATTCACGCTCAAAGGAACGCAGAACTCTGAATGCTCCAGTTATATCTAATTAGGTCGATAAATTAATATGATGAACGACCTAGCTTCAGAGCTAAAAGAAAACGAGCGGCTTGGGGAGCTTTCAAGAGCATCGAGGATGTAGTGAAGAGAACAAAGAACACCCAACTCCGTGCCCACCTTTTCGGCTCAACTGTGTTTCCTGCCCTAACGTATGCGTCAGAAAGCTAGTTGCTGCGTAAGGAGGATGAAAGATCACTCAGGGTTATCGAACGCGCAGTCGAAAGGACGATGCTAGGAGTATCCCGTTCCACACAAGTAAGGGATGGGATCCGAAGCTCCGATCTGCGTCAACGATCAAAAACCAAAGATGCCGTTCTGTACGCCAAATAGTCGAAGATAAGGTGGGCCGGACACGTAATGCGTATGAATGACAACCGATGGACAAGAGCCGTTAGTAGCTGGATTCCTCGGGATGTCAAACGTACTGGAGGAAGACCACCGACCCGATGGTCTGAGTTCTGCACAAAGAGCCTTGAAGAAAGATGTGATGCTCGACTAGTCCCTAGAGCGAGCAGAACCCACTGGACTACTCTTGCACGCAACAGGGAAAAATGGAAGATTTACTGGCGTCCGCTTGAGTCAGTCGACGATCAACGGGGCTACAGGTGATACAGGTGATATTTAATTGGTTTGACCATGAACATTGACTCTTTCGAAAGACTCATAACACGGACGACAACTATTGAAAACGTGTGGATCAATATTGTCTTTGACAATCTTTCGTCATTTGCGCATCGACATCAAGCTGTGAGAAAAATGAAGTAGAAACGTTCTATATGGACTGGGATAAGTTCTACAAAGAAGGCCATGCATTCTTTAAGGTAATCACTGGTGGTTTTAACACAAAGGTTGAAACTAGAAGAACGTCTAGAAAACGCCACATTTTAATCCACGGATTTGAATGGAACATGCAAGATAAGCGGTCTGAGTTTGTCGCGACGACGAAGACCTTTGGTAGTAGCTCGCGATTCCAGAAGCTCCACTCTTAACGCTGGACGTGAAAGTCTCCCAAAGGAGAGTATTGAGCACATCATAGTAAATCGAAAGCTCTGTCTAACCGCGCTATTTTCCAGAAATTCTGCATAAGATTACACCGTCACCACCTTCATGCGGATCTCATTTTTTGCGAAATGCAAAAAAAACCGCTAGATTCAAAAAACGAAAGTCCCAAAACCACCATAAACTGGGATTTCCAGTCAACTATTAGAAAAATGCCATTTTTGATGAAATGAACGAAGAATACGATCAGCTCGTTAAACCTGTTCACGTTAGCGTATAGGAGCTGATAATTCATAAGTCACCAAAAGATCGACCTTTTCCAGAAATGCACCATCTGATACGCCATCGTTTAAGCTGCAATCAACCGGCGACTTACTCTCGAACATACAAAACAACGAAGACAGCCTTAAAAGAAGATCTTAAAGAAAGAAGAGCAGCAGCCATGGCCGAAGGTGCAGAGGTTGAGAACAGCATTCGCACAACCCACCGAAGCTTCGTCATTTGCAAAACTAGGGTGATTGTAGTCCGACACCAAGACATAAAAGCTGCAGCTTCCAGAAAGGCAATAGGAAAAATTCATTCACGATCAGTACTCGAATTTCTTCAGTAGCAGCGTTGTCCTCTTATATAAAATAAAGGAAGATGGAAATGTCGTCCCACCAGTTCTCCCTTCCAAAATCCGACATGCTATTTCATCGCGAAGACTTTGATAAAGGCGATACCATCTCGTCAACATTATTTACCGCCACTCTCCAGAACGTCATGCGAACATTGGAATGGGATAACATGCGAGTGAAAATCGATGGTCAGCAATTACACCATCCTCGCTTTTCCGATGACATCGTTCTTATAAAGCCAAATATTAGCCAAGCGGAACGAATGCTTGCCGACTTTGATAAAGCCTTTGAAAAGATTGGTCTTCGATAAATCTCACAAAAACGATGTTCACGAAGAACGGATTGGTTTCGTATACCCCATTCACGCTCAACGGAACGAATATCTCCGAATGGTCCAATTATGTTTATCTAGGTCAGGGAATCAACATGTTAAACGGCTAAACTCCAGAGTTGAGGAGGACGAAACGAGTGGCTTGGAAAGCTATCAAGAGCACTGACGATGTAGTGAAAAGGCAAAGAACACCCGACTCCGTGCCGACCTTTTCGAGCCCATCGTTTTTCCTGTTTTAATGCATGCTTAAGAAACCTGGTTGTTGAGTAAGCACGATGACAGATCGCTGAGCGTTAGTGAACGTGGAGTCCAAAGGGCGGTGCTAGAGGTATCCCTTATCACACGCGTAAGGGAGGGAAATCGCAGCTGCGAACTAGGTCGACGATCAAAATTCACATAAGCCGTTCTCTACGCCAAGCTGTCGAAGACCTAGGGTGCCAGAATGAGTATTGAAGATGACCGATGGACATGAGCCCTTAATGAGTGAATTCCGCAGGATGTAAAACGTACTTCAGGAAGACCACCGAACTGATGTTCATAATACTTCACCAAAACCCTAGAAGAAAGATATGATGTTCAACAGGTTCCTAGAGTGAGCAGAGCCCATTGGATTCCTCTAGTTCGCGGCAGGAAGAAGTGGTAGATTTACCGGCGCCCGCTCGAGTCACTCCGCCATCAGCGGGTCGAAAGGTGGTACAGGTGATATACCTACATATATTTATTTATGTGATCTTATAAACTGATCTTCTTAAGCTGACGCGAGGTTGGTACAAATCTTTGTTGTCGTTGTCGTTGTTTTTCATGTTATTGATCGATGGCTGACGTTTCGGCAACTTCGCTTTCCACAGAGCAGTGATTTTACGTGCGGGACGTAACATATATATCATATATAGAATAAATATATCAACTATCTATGCCGAGGTTTATAGAAGGTCGGCCTATCGAGTTACCTACATATATATATACAGCAGCTACAGGTGATATGCCTACATATATAAGCATACATATGAATATATATGGATACGTGTATACTTTACCTGGACACTTGAACATTCCGTCTTCACTAGTTGTGCGAATCTCAGCACATGTTCCATCCGCTTTTTTTCCTCGCCTTCTTCGTCTATTGCGGTTGTTTGATCATTGCGTGATGGCCAGTGCGAATCTCATACCGGTATCTGTGAAAAAGCTGCAGCTACGAGTAGAGACGTGAGCACAGCTGTTTGACTTTGGTCAAGAACACGTGGGCCGTAAGTGTAGGTGCCCGTCCTGGGGCATTTACATCTTCGTGTAATTCACTTTGTACTTCTTTTCGTCCATCTGTCATCAGTCCTTCATATTAGGTGACCGGCCGTCTATGTTTCGCAATCAATGTGTGTTCCCCTGGGCCTAGAGTTCGCATTCCGGCTAGAATTTTTGTGCGCCGGTTATATTTCGAAAGACATACTTCAAGCGATCTATGAGCAGTGCGTAGATTGCTTGACGTGGTTAAGGTATCAGCTCGAGTCTCTGTGCTGCATAATGCAGACCAGAGAGAACCGGAGAGAACTGTAGAATCGAAAAGGTTAGTGTGGATTTTCGGATCACACAGTTCGTCGGTGGCTTCTTTGAGAGGCTCGAATGAGACCCAAGCTGCATGTATGTGCATACATGCATGTGTATATATGTACATATATAATATATATGTGACACGTATGTACGTATATGTAAATATGTGCATGTACATGTGTTTGCACGTATGCCTCTGTGTATATTTACGTACATATAAATATACAGGCATGCACTCAGATACTCATTTACTCAAACGGCTGATTCTCATTGCATGTGCCAACCCCAATATAATTTCCACTTTTTCGGAGTTTTGCTGTTTTATATATACAGGATATGAACGTCGGAGATTTAATGTATTTTACTAATTTCTTGACGACAGCTTCCCATTCAGAATATTTCGCTGCAATACGAAAAATTTTGTAAATGATTCCATCTGACGGCCATGGAAAGGTTGTCGCAATGTTCTTCTGATGCATTTAAGCCTTTAAGAAGTACTTCGTACCATTGTACTTGCCGAACAACATCGTAGGTTGTTGAAGTTGATGCATTTTTCCTCGTACGTCTCAATCCCATCTAACAGTGAATCACTTTTTTGCACAAGGAAAACGCAGAGCATACTTCATAAGGGCGATCTCTACCTGCCATTTGTTTATGTTGCGCGGCGACAGCTTCACTGGTTTTTGTCCTCCACTTCGGATGATGTGCTTTAAATGTACTGTGTACTTACATCTGCAGTTCAGTCTCACGAAGAGCGTTGTACGTGTAACTTTTTATCGCTGAAGACGAAGAGTTGTCGCTTATCTTCCTACCTGCATATCACCTGTCCTCCATTGACTGTCAGCTGACACGAGCCGGTGGTAGCAGCGTCCATTTGTTCCTGTCGCGTGCAAGAATAGCCCACTGAGTTTTACTGGCTACGGAGTCTCGCTCGGTATCGCACTTTTTTTTCGTGATCTTCGTAAAGAAACCAGTCCGACCACCAACTCGATGAGAATCCTGCTACGTGGTTAATATTTCGGTAAGACCGAGTCACTGACGGCTTTTGCAGGTGTGTGTTCTACCCGATATTCAGAATCGTAGCCTATGCCTCTGCTTCTCTAATCTTTAATTGTCGACGCAGGTCGGAAATTCGAATTTCCTCTATCACTTGCGTGATGTGGGCACTCCTACCATGTTCTACAACGCTAACTGCTCTTTCATGTTTTCTAGGCAAATTCCTGTATCCCACACTGTAGGTCAAGTGAGCTGGAATCCATGTATCGAAGAACGAAGTCATATAGGATTAAGTTTCTTGTTTTCTTCATCAATTCTTCGATGCCTTTGTATGCTCTTTACGCCGACCACTTGCTTTTGGTCATCTCTGGTGCTATCTTTCACCATGCTATCTAACCGATGCACATACAAGAGAAAAAACCTGGAGCGCCTCGATGCATTTCTTCTTTCCACAACGCGTGCTTAATAGCGCGCGAGAAACAGTTTCGTTCCTTATGAACACCGCCTTCCTTGAGATCTGATCAGAAGCCACTTTTTTACACGTTTTCTCGAAAATTGGACAGCATTCACTTTGCGTAACTAATGCTCTATGCTCTATATTATGGCAATGATATTATTTGTTACGCAAAACAAGTGTAGATGACGGCAATTATTCATCCATTCAATGCTATGTTGTCCCATTTCAGTTTCCTCACAAAGTTTTCGGAGTAGCTGTAAAAAATTTTATCAGATTGGTATCATCTCGGCAAGCCTTTGCTTTAAACAATAATATCAATGGGTGATTGCTGTGGCAAAAAGATCGATAGAAATAGCTGAGAGACGTGCGAAACAAAGGACCCGCATGGTGTGGTGGTGAACGCGTTACTCCTCGGAAAGGATAATAGCGCGTTCGTACCCCACCATAGACACCTGCGGTCCAGAGTTTTGCAAATATCTCAGCAACGTTGTGGTTGTATTTCGCTTAGTAACCTGCCATGAAAATTATAGAAGGCAGAAAACAAAACGTTAAACATAATAATATCAATGCTGAACAATGGAACTCTGATCGTAAAGTCGTTGTAGTGCTCATTAAATGTATTCCTGCACTGAGTAGAGAAGCGCTAGCTGTGAGGAACTCCACTACTGCTTTTCTGTCCGTTGTCTTTCTTAAATTGCATCCTCATAATGCTTAAACGGCTTTCATTATCATGTAGACGCATTAAGTACAAAACCCTGCTTCCTCGCTTAACAGTAGCGGCTAGAATCACAATTTTGGTTTGTTGTTTACTGCCTACTCTTTTTAACGACAGGGTATATTGCGAAATATAACTTCAATGATGCTGAGATACTTGCAAAACTCTGACCCGCAGGTGTCCGCGGTGGGGAACAAACGCGCTATTGTCCTTTCCGGGGAGTAGCGTGTGCACCACCACACCGTGTGGGTCCTTCGTTTCGCCTCTCTCTCAGCTAGTTCTACCGATCTTTTGCCATCAGCAAATCACCCGTCAGCGAGATTAAATAACAAGCTAAAATTGTGATTGTAACTGTAGCCTCAGCTTAACTGGGTTCGTTGCCGACTTGGGCCACCCAGATCAATCCCGCTGATGGGTGATTGCTAATGGAAAGATCAATAAAACTAGCCGAGGCACAGGCGAAACGAAGGATCCCCATGGTGTGGTGATGAACGCGTTACTCCAGTGGGCCAGTGTTTTTCTATGTACTGGTAGCACATTCATAATATTAGTACTTCAACCTATCCGAACAGGTGCTGAGAGATTCCTCGTTGTCGTGAGAGGATATTGGGTCACTTGGAATATATCCATTCTGCGTCGTGTCCTTGTTCAGCAATCGCGAGGTTTCTAAACAGCATACATTTAGTTCCATAGAGAAACACAATACAATACAACACTAGCTGACGTTTCGGCAGTATCGCCTTCTTCAGAGCCTGGAAGGGTATACTGATATACAATCTACTAGGCCAAACGCTTCAATAACACTTACAAAGAGACGAAAAACTCTATCGTAATTACATGATCTAGAGCTTCTCGAAAAACTCATCGCTTTTTACGTGATCTCCAATGAAGAAGTTTAGAACAGCTGATTATAGTCGCATGTGGTTGACGACTGCACCATCCCACATCAGAAATTGATGCGAACATACGGGGTCAGGTCGCGTATGACCTCCAGGCATTCATCCCTGCTATTCATTGTAGGGTTTTTGGCATTTATCCAAAAAGCCTCAAGAAGTTTTCGCGCTAGTGTTTTAGTCTCCTGTGCAAGGATATTGACTTTTACTTCAAAATTGTCTCCGCTATGCTCTTGTATCATATGCGTGCGTAGTGGGGTACTCAGTCTTAGTTTTCGTTTCTTATTTAGGTGTTCTCTTATATGGATACGCAAAGCTCTGCCCGTTTCACCAATATATTCATCTCCGCAATTATTATAAGAGATCAGGTATA